TACCTAAAGAGAATCAAGTCTGTTCAAGAAAGAGGCAAAACGTCAATATTACTAGTGAAAGGATAATTATAAATAATAGGATAAAACGAAATGATTTAGGCCGAATGAATCAAACCTGCATCCATTGTGATGCTAAGTTTTGGATGGAGGAAAAGAATCAGAATAGCTCTTTTGCATATCCTACATTTTTGACTTGCTGTGCACACGGCAAAGTTCGTTTGCCACGTTTGGTTGAACTTCCACCTTATTTGTTGAATTTGTATACTTCGTCGAACTCTGATGCAATCTCTTTCTAGAAAAACATTAGACGTTATAATAATATTTTGGCGTGTACATCGTTTGGTACTAATATAAATACGATCCCAGGATAAGGCATTTCTGACTTCTGTATTCATGGCCAAGTTTATCATCATATCGATTTGTTGCTACCAGAAGAAGGTTCTCAGCTGGCATTTGCGCAATTATATATCTATGACTCTATACATGAGAATGCATATCGTCATAACGTTATGGCAGACTTAGACAATACCATTCTACAAAATCTGCTGACCGTATTGGATAAATGCAATCCGTATATCCAGAACTTTCGTCGCGTAAGAGATCTTATCCAAATAAACGTGCCTGATAAAATTATAATGGTCATTCATAAAGATCGAACACGAGATCCCCGTCGATATAATGCTCCTTCAGCTTCTGAAGTTGCTGCAATCATGCTTGGTGATGGTCATGAGCTGCATGCAACAAATCGTGACATTATTCTTAGGATGCGCGATGGAAGTCTACAAAGAATATCAGAGACTCATCCATCCTATGACCCCCTTCATTATGTGTTGTTATTTCCGCAAGGTGATGATGGTTGGCATGTGGATATACCCCTTATAGATTCTAAGAAAAGAAAAAGAGTGTCAACAATGCAATTCTATTCATATAGGCTGCAGATTAGAGATGGAGATTGGATTCATAATGCAGGCCGTTTGTACCAGCAGTATATCGTTGACCAGTACGCTAAAATAGAACAGAAACGCTTGAATTACCTTAAACTGAATCAAGAATCCTTACGTACTGAATTGTATAATAGTGTATCAGATGCATTACATGCTGTGGACAATAATGATGTTGGTCATCGTATAATCCTTCCATCGTCGTTTGCTGGTGGTCCGCGCTAAATGTATCAGCTGTACCAAGATGCAATGGCCATTGTAAATTGCTTTGGTAAGTCCGATCTTTTTGTAACATTCACTTGCAATCCCAAATGGCCAGAAATCACCAGGGAGTTAGGACCTCATCAAAGTGCTATTGATCGTCCTGACTTAACTGCTCGCGTATTTCATATGAAATTGAAGGAGTTTTTGAAAGATCTATTACAAAAAAATTGTCTTGGTAAAGTTATAGCATATATATACGTGATAGAGTTTCAGAAACGTGATTTGCCACATGCCCACTTCTTACTTATATTAGCCCCAGAGAGTAAGTTGCGAACAACAGATGATTACAACTCTATTGTCTCTGCTGAGATTCCAAACCCTTTGACACATCCACTTGCATATGAGACTATTTCAACTGTGATGATGCATGGTCCGTGTGGTGCTATGAACCCTTCTTCACCATGTATGAAAGATAATGTATATCAGAAATATTACCCTAAGAATTTTAATGAATCTACTAGAGAAGATAATAATGGTTATCCAATTTACCGAAGACGTGATGATGGCCGTTATGTTGAAACAAGAAATGGCGTTCGATTGGATAACCAATGGGTCGTACTGCATAATGTTGATTTAGTGAAGAAATATAACGCCCATATAAACGTAGAAATTTGCAACTCGATCTTATCCATTAAGTACCTGTATAAATATGTGTACAAGGGTCATGATCGTGCTACAATAGCTTTATATCAATCAGCTCTCAATAATAGACAATTGAATCGTACTGAACCTGTTGATGAGATCAAAATG